AACGCTTTGCGCATGTTAGACAAGAAAACCCAAACTGAGTTTTACCCCAAGCCCTGGCTTTTTTTTTTTCCTCCCTGATAACTAAAGATTGAAAGCAGGGCTTTGTGCATGCGAGGCAAGTGCTATACCACTAAGTTACCTTCCTTGAGCTTTTCATTTTGAGACAGGATCTTCCTAATTTAGAATCCTCCTGTCTCTGCCTCCTGAGTGCTGGGATTACAGGCATGAGCTACCACGCCCAGCATAATACAGTTGTTTTTAACTCCCCTTCCCTTTGCCTCCCTTCTTCCCTCCTCTAGTTCCCCTTTTCATTCTTTTTAAATTAAATTAATTAATTAATTTTTTTTGGTGCTGGGGTTCAAACTCGGGCCCTTGCATTTGCAAGGCAGGCGCTGGAACCACTGAGCTAAATCCCCCCTTTTCATTCTTTTTTTTTTTTTTTTGAGACAGGGTCTCACTATGTAGTTGAGACTGACCTGAAACTCACTATGTAGCTCAGGCTGGTCTCAAACTCACAGCGATCCTCCTGCCTCAGCTTCCCAGAGTGCTGGGATTACAGGCGTGTGCACCATGCCCAGCCCTCTTTTCATTCTTTTTGATATTGTTAATCTTAGTTCATGTTTATGGCATTTAATGATCATGTTATTAAGGCTTTTAGGAAATTGTATCTGGTGTATCTTCACTCTACCTTGCTAGATTATTTTATTTATTTATTTGGCTAGGTTATTTTTAATGACTTTCTTTTTAAAAAATGTTTTTTGGTTGGTTTTGTATTTCTTTTTTTGTGTTGTTGCTTTTTTTATCCCCCCAGTACTGGGGATTGAACTCAGGACCTTGTGATTGTGAGGCAGGTGTGGCACTGCTGAGCTAAATCCCTGGCCTTCGTTTTTTGTTTTTTGAGACAGGGTTCCACCATGTAGTTCACGCTGGCCTTGAACTCTGTGGGGATCCTCCTGTTTCAGCCTCCTGAGTGTTGAGATTATAGGCATGTGCCATCATGCCTTGCTTGAATGACTTCTCTTTATTAAATTTTATGTCAAAATATTACTGTCCAACTATCAGTGAATCTGAGCAGAGTAGTAAGAGTAATTATAATTTACTAGGCACTCTGTATAATTTGTCTCATACTTACCATGAGCTGTATAGTTGTTGTTATCAACCCATTCTACCACCTCCCACCTCCCTCTTTTTGTACTGGGGATTGAACCTAGGGCTCCCTGTACACCAAGCAAGCAGTGTTCCACACAGCCACACTTGCAGCCCATTTTTAGAGTGTATTTTGAAGCTGGGCACAGTGGTTTACTCCTGTAAAACCAGCACTCAAGGATGTTGTGGGAAGAGCATCTCAAGTTGCAACCCAGCCTGAGTAGTTTAGCAGGATCCCATCTCAAATATGAAGGTTCTAGGTTCTATCCTCAGAACCACAAAAAGGAAAAGAAAAATTTAATTTTCAGACAGCATCTCACTAAGCTGTCCAGGCTGGCCTTGAACCTTCCGTCTTCTTGCTTCAGCCTCCCAGGTAGTGTCAGTCTGTTTCCAAGGGTGCGTGTGTGTGCACACAGCTCACAGAAGTTAGGTGATTGCCTGAGATCATTTAGGTGTGAATGGTTGATCCAGGATTTGAGTGCAAAGTGTACATTTTCTCTGCTCCAGTGCTGGGGAGTTGAGAGAAACAGTGCCCAGAGTAGTGGTAATCAGCAGGAGTAAAGGGAGAGGGACTCAGTAAGAATTCAGTGTAGCTTTCTGAGTTTCCGCCCAAGTTTGACTTGAGGTGGCCTCTAGGATCTTTGCTATCAGCGCAGGTACTTCTTGGCTTTTTGTACTTTTCTTTCATTGTTAGAGATGACACTGATTCATTAAGAAAATGTTGACTCGTACCACTTCTCTCCCCTCTGCAAGAAAACATGAAAGTTTGAAATTTATTTTACAGAGTTTCAGTCTCTCTTTTTTTTTTATTGTATCGGGTTGAACTCAGGACCTTGCGTTTGCAAGGCAGGTGGTGGAACCCCCTGAACTAAATCCCAGGCCCCAGAATTTCAGTTTTAAATGTATCTAACAATTCATGAGAACTTTATTTTATTTTTTTTGTAGATCAGTATTTCTAAAATTTATTCTGAAAAAGTCAGTTTTCTTTTACTATAACAAGTTGATATAATTGGGAGTTTATTTTTGAAAATCTGTTGATTTCATACCCCTAGCAATGGGTAGATTGAGAAGCATCTATTGCTTTTTTTTTTTTTTCCAGCTTTAATTGAGTTTATTGGTACATTTTAGGGATACAGTACAGTTACATTCATTGTTGGGATGTTGTACCTCTACATGACAAGTCTTGGTTCTCATTTTTTCCCCTTGTCCCTGCCCTCCCTTCATGAGAACTTTATAATCTGTTATTTCTTCCAACCTTCAAGCCGTTTAGTCAATAGGTGACATTTTCTCATCCGAAGATGAATTTAGGTTCAGAGAATGAGGCCAGGTCAAAGAGTGAGTAAGTGGTGGAGGTAGGGTTGGAGCTGAGATTTTCAGACTCCAAATCTCTGTCATATTGTGTTACTAAAATTTTAAAAATGCAGAGTGGGAAGCCGAAATGACCTCCCCGTCATGAAGCTGTTTGTTACTATGATAACTGAGAAGACTGCTCTAAATAGCAGTGGCAGGTGAAATGTAAGCCAAGACCATGCAGAATTTGGGTGTGACTATTAGAGGCCAAAAAGTTACAGTAATTGTATGAAAAAAGGAAACTTGAAAATTTACTTTGCAAATTACATATCCTCTTTAGTAGGAATCAAGAAATACTCTAATGAAAAAGCTGCAAATACTTTTTTGATACTTTTTGATGTCACCAGAGATTTTTTGAGGGGGGAGGGATACGGGGGATTGAACTTGAGTCCTTGAGCTTGCAAAGCAGGAGGGGGCACCACTGAATTAAATTCCCAGCCCGTCATCGGGATTTTTTTTGAAATAGTTCTTAAACGTTTTCCTAAAAGTGAAATGTCTCAAATTGTTTGAGGGCTAGAATTGATAAGGAAATGAAAGAAGTATGTCTGCCAGAATGGACCTTTAGAAATAGGAAAATAATGTTAATCTGTTGTCACTGTAAATTCATAAAAAGTCAGAAAGCTACATAAGTCAGTGAGTGGATGACTACGTAATTTTGGGAGGATAAAGTAAGATAAATTTTGACTGACATGTCCTGTTGGAGATTTTATAGATTCAGAGCTAAGATTGGAAAATTGAAAAATACATGTAAGTCTTCCCATTGCTTGGTCTTTGTTTTTACTGCAGAGCAGGACCTATCCTCCATCAGTGCTGGGATGGAATCAAGGCCCCCCGTGTGCCGGGCCAGACTGCCCGGTCCTGGAGCGGTTTCTCAGTGCAGAAATGCACAAGGCAATTCCTGGGACTCTTCCAGAACAAAAATTAAAAATACCACAACTCATAGAGAGCTTTAAAACTGGAGAGTAAGGCCTTTATAATAGGAATGCTCTTCAAATTTCTCGACATAAGTAAAGGGGGGAAAAGTCATTACTGAGAGTGTGTGGGAAGAAACATTTTTGGATAACAGGAGAAAATGCTCCAAAGATTTATTTTATTGTGTTTCTTTCCTTCTGACCATTAAAAAAAAACAGAAGCAAACTAAAATTACTTTGTATGCGCAGAAGTTAAAAATATTTGTTGTCATGGGAACAGCCCCTGGCTTGATTTCCTGGTGGTTTGAAGCCTTGTGCATACTCTTGAGGAAGTAGCATTTCATACTTGCAACACCACAGCTGACAGAGTCACATGCCTGCCTTTGTTGTCCTGGGCACAGGGAAAGGGCTCTGTAAATAATAAGTGAAGGCCGGGCGTGGTGGCGCATGCCTGTAATCCCAGCACTCGGGAGGCTGAAGCAGGAGCATTGCTGTGAATTCGAGACCAGCCTGGCTACCCAGTGAGTTTCTAGGTCAGTCTCAACTACATAGTGAGACCCTGTTTCAAAAAACCAAAAAAAATAAAAAAGAATAATAGCAAAGAAGCCTCACTCACCAATCCCAGTTTCTGTGTCAAAATGACAATGCATAGAAAACAAAAAGGACCGGCAGCCACCTAGAGATAAGCAGAGTGTGTATTTTATTGTCTGCATTGGAGGCTGTATTTATTTCTCTGATTGTAACTATGAATTAGTTATTTTTCAAAATTAAGCTCTTTAGAGAAGGAGGAAAAAGCATGAGTGCTTTTAAATACAGAAAGTAGCAATTTTATTTTGCCCAGCAATGAGAATTTTCCCGTTGGACACGCAGCGTGACTGCTAGAGGCAACATAGTGCAGGATTTTAAAACAAGTAGCTTCAGTTTCCGCTTCCCCATTTACTAACTGTGTGGCCTTGAGTGTGTTGATTGACTGAGGCTCAGCTTCTAGTTGTGTAGCGATGACATAACTGGCTCGGTTAACGGTGTGTAACAGTATTGGTCTTCCACAGTCGATGTCCACCAGCTTCAGCTGCCTTGGTGCATGTGATTTATTATTCGGACTTACCAGGAAAGGTGAATACATCAGCTCTTTGAACCCTTTCCCCCAGTGTTAGTTTTTTTGGTTTGCTAAGTTTTTACAGCTAAACAGATTAGTCCATCTATCTTTACAAGGGATACATTGCTCCAGTACCTAGTAAAACATTAGTTATGACTTGCACAGTGTTTCTGGCTTTTAAAGAACGTTTAAATGAAAATTATGAGAGGCAAACAAAATCAGGGCTGTTTTACTTGCTGTGGGTAAAATATGAATGTATTCCCTCTTTAGGCATTTTAAATTGTATCTAACATCAAGTACTGAGCGCTTTTCACAAAATTTCAAAGTCGTCGTGGTGGATGGCGAGGCAGAAAGCGAGTATGCCGTCAGGTGGCAGGACTTCTTCAGCGGCCACATGGTCGGTGAGTGTGCGGGCGGGCTGGGCCCAGGTCCAGGTCTTCGGGCTCCAAGTCCCAAGTGATTGCCAAGTCTTTTTTTTCCCCCCACCAGTACCGGGGGTCAAACTCAGGACCTTGTGCTTGCCAGGCACATGCCGCCAGGACTTAGGTGGGTGGGACAAGCCGAGGCCCGGGAGTGCTGTGCTGTTGTGGTTGCAGTTGAGTTGTACACACTTGGGAGCAAAGCATTCTCTTGAGGGAGGTGGGCGTCTGCGCACCTGTTGTACTAGCAGGCTGGTTTGATGGTTAAAATTACTTTCCACTGTAATGATAAAAATTTAAACACCTCTTGTCTTCAGGCAAGGATTGTAGGCGTCCCTTAGGAGATTTTAAACAGGGAAGATAGGAGATAAAAGTAATTTACTTTATGACCTCTTATATATCTCTTTGAGAAAATGTGTCAAAAAAGCAATTGCAGCTTACATGGCTTATTATTTGATATGGATTTTTGATAAAATGTGTTTCTTTTGTCCCGAGGTGAGCCTGATTCTAGGGTCCTGGCCCACATAGGAGATGATGATGTTACCATAAGGATCAACACAGACGGGGCAGAGTATAACATAGAGGTAAATGCATCTCTGCAGCCATGTTTTCCAGTAGCTTAGCCACAGCTGGGATGTATTTTGTTATTTTGTTTCGTTTTCTTTGAGGCAGGGTTTCACTCTAGTTCAGGCTGGCCTGGAACTAGCAGTCCTCCCGCTTAACCTGTGGTGCTAGGATTACAGTTGTGTGCCACCATTCCTGGCTTGTCTCTGACTTAAAAAAATCTTTTCAGTTTAAGATGGCAAAAGTGAAACTTAAGCTCATTTCTTTTCTCTTTGCATTTAAAATTTTATTTAACTAGGAAAATAGATGACTTTGAAAAACAAGGATAATACTTTTTATCTCTAAGAAGCTCATAAGATGCATTCTGCAGTTTTTTTCTTACATGGTGTCAAAGTTTCACATTTACTAAAGGTAGAAAAAAGAGTAAGGGAAAAACGTGCTCTGTGAAGCAAGTTTGAGCTGAGTAGAAAGGGTGGAAAAATAAAAATAAACAGTACACCTTATGGCTGGGGGAGTGCCATGAGGAGGAGTGAGAGCTGCTGTGCTGCTGAGAGGTGTGTGGTGTGCAGGGGTGGGTGGGTGAGGAGATCCGTCAGTTGTTACCAGACCGCCATGTTTGCTTTGTCGCTATTTTTTCCTAAATCACTTAGAAGTATCATGATACTTCACTTCTAAGTATTTGAGTTGCATCTCCTAAAAATGAAGCCCTTTTCCTACACAGCCATAATAAAAGTAACACCTGAAAAAATGAAAATAATTCTACAGTTTTAGCTAATCACCAATGCTAGTCAATTTTTTAGTCATCTTCAAAATCTCCTTCACAGGGCCAGGGATTTAGTTCAGTGGTTCTGCCGCCTGCCTTGCAAGCACAAGGGCCTGAGTTTGATCCCAGTACCAAAAAAATGAAACAAAATCTTCACAGATTTATTTGTCTGGTTTTCCAGTCCAGGATCCAATCAAACCTCTTGGCTTTTGTTGAATTATTCATCAAGTGTTTTTTTTCCCCCAGTAACTTATTAGCAGTGATAGTAACAGGATTAGTTTCTACTAGTGTGGTGACCGCCTCGTGTTTGAAATCTCCGCCTGTAACTGGGCTAATGCTCCTTTACCTACCGAGGGTCTTGTCGCGCAGGTGACCTTGTCCAGGGCACTGTGGGACAAAGTTGCCCAAGCCCTATCTGTGTGCGAGCCTGGGAGTACCAGGAAGCTCTTACGTGAATTTTGTAACATTTGATCCAAAGGGGGTAAAAATGGGCTTCTCCTTTCTCCAGGCCCAGTGAGCTTTACTAAGTGTGGAAAATTCCTGTGGCTGAGGAGTTGGGTTACTTTTTGAAGCCTTCCCAGCCTAGAGATTCTGTTAGCCATTGTTACCTAATCTTCCCGACTTTGTGATGGAGTGGACACAGTGCGCGTGCAGTGGAGACTGTTTTGGGCACCTGTGCTGTGCTTGGCAGCATAGCTGTTAGGACGTCGGTAGGGTAGGTGTGTGAAGTCCATTTTTTGGGGTCTCTGTGTAGTCCAGGATGACCTTAAACCTGCTATGTATTATCCTTAGCCTTTGTTTTTCTTATTTTTCATTTTGAGTTGTATCTTTTTTGTTTTGGTACTGGGGATCGAACTCAGAACCTGGCGCTTGCCAGGCAGGCACTGTGCTGCTGAGCTAAATCCCGGCTCCTTATTTTTCATTTTGAAATGGAATGTTACTAAGTTGCCTGGGCTGGGCTCAGACCTGGGATCCCCTGCCTCAGCCTCCCGAACTGCTGAGATTATGGGTGTTCAGCACTGTGCTTGGCCTTGTCTAACTTTTATTGCAGTGTCATCAACAGCTAAAGTAGTGTCAGCATGCAGTAGACATTATATAAATATTTTAAAATGAATTAATAGAAAAAGGCATTTTTTTCTCCTGAATTTTCTGAAAGATTTCCTCATGCCAAGTGATGCATTTTTTGTGTACAGGTAAAATCACAAGTGTGTCATCTACGAATTAATTTACCAGCATAGAAAACCCCTTATGATAACAATGGAAATAATTTATTTTGGATAAAACTTCCCATCATTTTATTGAATGAGAAATGAGTGTTGTCTAAGGATAATCAAAGACATCATGTAGACTAAATGTTTAAGAGTTCTTATTTTTTCCATCTCTTCATCTATATTTTATGTTCTAGCCACTCTGGAGATTTGTTAGTGATACTAAAGACAGAAGAATGCTGGCTTACAGATCGGAAGACATCAGGAATGTTTCACGCTTGCAGTCTCCCAAAGTGTGTGGCTATGTGAAACTGGAAGATGAGGAGCTGATTCCGAAAGGGCTGATGGACAGGGAGCCGCCGGGAGGTGAGCTGCGAAGCCGCATTTCAGTGAGACCCAGCGTGCTACAGCTGACTCCCGCGGGAGTGGTCGGTAACCAGTAAAAACATAGGATGATCGAGTAGCTATAATACTTGGTTTGAAAATAGTTTTGTCCCAGAAATTCTTAATTATTTTTATAATGTGAGGGTTGTATTAAGCACTAATAAACTAATGAGAGCCACAGTAATTGGACTTAAAAAGATGCTGGGGAAAATTGAATGATCAGAGGGAGAATTCTTTACTAGCAGGTATTTAAAAATGTCAAAGTAAGGCCGGGGATTTAGCTCAGGGGTTCCACCGCCTGCCTCACAAGTGCAAGGTCCAGAGTTCAATCCCCGATACCAAAAAAAAAAAAAACAAAACCCCAAAAACCCCAAAACCAAAATGTCAAAGCAGTACCATCAAACAATCTTTAGAACTTTTAAATAATAATTTGAGTGGTAAGAGAGCTATACTGTTTGGGTGTAAAAAGGTTCCCAGTCTTGGGACAGATCTTTTTAGTCATTTAGAAAATAACCATTTTGGAGAGGTAATCTGCTGTCCTTACTATTTTTAAATTTCTTTTGTGGGAGCCAGTGTCGTACTGTGTTGTCCAGGTAGACCTTGAAATCCTGGGCTCCGGAGATCCTCCTGCCTCAGTTTTCTCAGTAGCTGAAACTATAGGCATGTGTCTCCTTGGCCGGCTTCAACTGTCCTCATTCTTGAAGACTTCAGAAAGTACTCCTCGCATTTTAGTACATAACTAAATAAGTTGTCAACAGCTTCAGTATTTAGTAAGAAAGCTGCCCTGGGCAGAGGTGTGACTCAGTGATGGGTCACTCGCCAGGCAGATTTAAGCCGCCATGGTTCGAGCTCTAGTACTGAAAGCAAACGAAAGGTACTCTGTTAACACAGTGATCTTGCAGCTTCTGTTTGTTGTGGAGACACGTTTGTGAGTGTTCACAGTTCCCCAGGGGAGCGTGTTGATGGCTCTGCTGCTGCGGGTGAGGTCTCCAGACTAGGAGCGGAGACACATGAATAGGGGAGCCTGGCTCTGCCTTTCCACCTGGACGCTTGCGCACGGCTGTGTGTGGCTCTGTGCACTTCTGCTGCACAGTGTCCCTCAAGACACTTCCGCCTGAGAAGGGCTCGTGCCCCTGCTTATGTGAGGCAGGGGTCCCCATCTGGCACTGGCGCTGAGACAACTCCACGTCTCCACGGTTGCCAGTTTTCATGTCCCATTGCTTTGATGTTTTTACTGTTTCTTTATCAACTTCTAGAAGTAAATGACTGCCATCTTCATAGCCAAGTAACAGACAGGATTTCTACTCTGTACTGTTATTTGGTTCTTTTTTGCAGTTCTGGGAATAGAACAGAAGGTCTCACACATGCTAGACAAGTGCTCCACCATTGAGCTACTTCCTCAGACCCCTTGGTTTTCACTCTACAACGTTTTTCCTGGTACTGAGGATTTAAGCTAGGGCTTTCTGTGTGTTAGTCAGGACCTGTACCACTGAGCTACACTTGTAGCCCTTTCTGCTTTGAGAGAGGGCCGAGAGAGTCTTGCTCTTGCCTCAAAGTTGTCATTGTCCTACGTCAGCCCGCCATGGAGTGGGGTCACAGGTGCACCCCATGCCCTGTATTCAAGATAACTTGAGGATACTAAGCTCAACTGATGTTTGTTTTAGCTCTCTACTAGATGTAAAGTTCTCCTGTAAAAAACGCCCCTTGTCTTGATGAATTTTGATGTAATAGTGTGTACCAATTCATATCAGAGTTTGTCCATCGGGTGAAGAGAAGAGCCGACCCGGATCCCATGAAGAACACGTGTAAACTACTGGTGGTTGCAGATCATCGCTTTTATAAGTACATGGGCCGCGGGGAGGAGAGCACCACCACCAATTACCTGGTGAGCAGTGGGTGCTGCAAGTAGGGTGTGGCTCTGGCCAGCTCTGTCCTGGAGGCTGTGACTCTCCCATGGTGTTCCACAGCTGATACTCTGTGGAAACCATCGTCTCAGAGTTAGGAAAGCCATGTTTTACTTTTAAACTAATGTTTTGTACATAATAGAATTTTTATACTAGGTCTGGGGAAATTCATAATGTTTATACAAAAGAGCTTTGCAAAAGCATCAGTTCCTAGTAACAGTGAAACTGTGCTATCACACTGTGGATTTATGTTTCAGAGGAAAACTATCCACCAGGTGTGTTATGTGCTTTTCTCCATATAAATATATCTCCCAGAAGGTCAGTTTTGTTCATGTCATGCTAAAAAGGTAATCACAGGAGTATGCATGATTATGGCCATAATCCGTTCACTCCAGGGGGAAAGAATAAACAAGTGTGAACAGTAGGTGCTTTGGGTGGTTCTGGGGATCAAACCCAGGTGCTGGCCAGCCATGCACTCTTGCACTGAGCTGCTCCAGCCAGAGCTGGAGTTCTGGCATTAACCATTACAATCTTTCAGTCAAGGGAGTCCTTTTTCATTGACATTTTCTCTTACTATGACCTCATTCGTCATGAGAACTTGGCACTGAGCAAAATGTTTTTACTGAGAAATAAAAGAGAAAGCAGCTATTGAGGACTGGCAGCCTGGGATGGGAAAGTCCCATCTTTGTGCCTTCCCTCAGCCTGCCTTCCCACCCTGTCCTGCCGTGTGGAGGGGGAGAATTTATTATGAGCACAGTGGGAGCTGTTGTAATCTCTGTTCCTAGCAAGAAGGGTTCTTTCTTGAAAACACTTCTCTCTAGGTCTGGGCTTTTTAAGGGGATTTTTAAAAATTTTGTGTCACTGTTCATGACACCATGAATGTGGGAAAAATTCAGTTTCTTACAGTTACTTGTTAACAAAGAACAATTTCTTAGACCTGTAACTTCCTTCATAGTCACTGGAAAATAATTCAACCCAGTTTTTATTTTTTTCTTCTTTTTCAATTTATTTTTTAACTGGGGTTTGAACAGTAAAATATGCTGTTTGAGGAGCAGAGAGGGAACGAGCATTTTGTTCTTTCTGTGTGGTGAGGAGATGGCCCTGTCACCCACCCTCCCAGTGGGAGAACAGAGGGGTACAGTGAGGCTCGCTCCCGGGCCCCTCCCACCCTTCCTCAGGGCCAGGCTGTGGGATGAGGTGGGGATGGGGCTGGTGTTCACTGTCAGCACCCTGTACCTTTCCCTGGATGCTGTCAAGGTGTGTGCCAGGAGACAGTGAAGACTGCTTGCTCCCTCTGATATTTTTAGTTGAACTGACTGACTTTAAAATTTTCTTTTTCTAGTTGACTGGAATGGCAGTTTAAAAAAACGCAATGCTCAATATTTTGGTCCCATCTGCAGTTGACTGTCTGAAATTTGGGGTAAACTGTACCACTGTTTTATTCTGGTTATACTTGAAGTTGGGAAGTAGGAGTAATTTCTTTGATAAAACCACCAATGATTAAAGATTAATATCTTAAGGGTAGTTCTTATCATTAGTGGAAACTTGAAATGGTATTCTCTTTAAACAAAATTTTCATCCCTGCAGATTTTACATTACATGTAATAAGCGGGAAAGATCTATATACTAATGTCTTTGTTTTATACACACAGATAGAGCTAATTGACAGAGTTGATGACATCTATCGGAACACTTCATGGGATAATGCGGGCTTTAAAGGTTATGGAATACAGATAGAGCAGGTATTTATCAATAGATGTGGCCTTGTGTTACTTGGTGAAGTTATGTAACTTAAAATATTTGTATTCAAAACCCAAACATTTTCCTTTGACATTGATAATAAGTAAAAATTCCCAAATGCCAGTGATTGTTCTCTGGTAAATTGGGTGGTGTTTTTGATAGTACTTACTTGTAGATTTCTGATCTGAAGCTTGATATAGGGAAAGAGCCCTGTAAGGCTGCTTTATGGCCTGCTTGTCACTGGTAGTGTTTTTCTTCTCTCAGATTAAAATCCTTTGAGGCTGGGGATGTGGCTGAGTGGTAAAGTGTTTGCCTAGTGTTCACAAGGCCCTGCATTTGATCCCTAGCACCATACCCCGAAAAATCCTAACACGTTGTTGAATCATTACTCAAAAATACTGTATAAGGCACCATCACTAGATGTTTTTCTAAATATCTCCTTCTGATTCCTTGTAAGCTATTAATGTTATGACCAGTAATGTTATAGTAATATTACCTTAGTTGAACCTCATAGTAAAAATTGTTTGAAATTAAGTTTAACTAAAGATACTGTTCTAAAATTGACAATTGCTTTGGACAGACAGACGTTTTGATATGTCAACCTTTATTACATGAATTATATCTTATTTTCTAGGCTTTTTGTATTAAATCATATTCTTACAGGTTGTGTAGCATAGACTTTAGGCATTAAATAAAATTTATTTTTTTAGTCAGGCATGGTGGTGCACACCTATAGTCCCAGCACTTGGGGCTGAGAGTTTTAGTCCAGCCTGAACTGCATAGCTAGACCCTGACTCAAAAACCAAAACCAAAAAAACTTTTGAAATCATGTACCTTACTAATTAAATGTTAAACTTTAATAGTACTTATGTAAGACTAAGAATTTTTCCCTTTTCCGTTCTTTTTCTGTTTTGTATTTTCTTTAAGTTACTATTTGAATAGGTCACATATACACAGTACAAAAACCAGTGAAAAGTAAGTGTACAACTTCTGTCTGTTGTCAAACCAGTCCTTTTCCAGGGACGTCTCCATCACTAGTCCTGTGTGTCTTCCCAGAGGGTGTGTGTGTGTGTGTGTGTGTGTGTGTGTGTGTCTGACACAGAGGCAGTTGCTGCACTCTGTACAGTTTTCATTTTGCAGTATGTTGGAGATGTTTCCATGATGGTACATACATAAAAATGGCCTGTGTTTGAAACACCTCAAATCATGTTCAAAGGTTTGGGGGCCAGTACATAAGTGTCCCTTTTGCCTTAGGAGCTTAGAGCCAAGCCAATTGAAGAACATAGGAATAATGTGGGGAAGAAACACATCACCTTCTTTAACGCATAAGAGATGGATTGGAGGATGTGATCTGATGTGTGGTCAGTCATCTCCAAACTGTCCGACCCCCCTTTAGGCAGCTGAGTCAGGAGCAGGGCAGAGCCCACTGAGCCAAGTCTGTCTTCTATCTGTCTGACTAGCTGTCTGGAAAGCCTGTTCCTTTTTGTCTGAGAAGGTTTCCTATGAAATTACCTAAAATGTAGGTACAAGGAGAAGCCCCTCTCCTTTATAATTCTCCCTGTGGGAGCCAAGTGATGAACAAGTTAGTATTTCTAAATTATTGGCTGTAATTGTAATAAATATTTAAGGCTCATGCAACTCAAGTTCTCACTTTTTCCAAATGTAGAAGATATGAAAACTTGGTACATATATAACTAATTCATCGACATATGTTTTTCATACCATATACATTTCAGTTTGTTTTAAGCACTAAACGTTAAAAATGAAGATTCTATAGTCTGGTTTTACAACACTTTTTCTAGAATGGTAAATGGTCTTTGTTTGAACAGAGAAGTATTGCTCAGTCTTACAGCCCCTCGGAAACGTTCTAAGTGTGTTATCTTTTTAAGTATAGATTCGCATTCTCAAGTCTCCACAAGAGGTGAGACCTGGCGAAAGGCATTACAACATGGCGAAGAGTTACCCGCACGAGGAGAAGGATGCGTGGGATGTGAAGATGCTGCTGGAGGTAGGTCTGATGCTGGCCATGCTGCCCTGGCCTCTTGGGTTGGAGAAGATGGTGGGGAACCAGAAGTCCCCTCTGCAGGGACCTGTACCCTGTCGGGGGCACACCTCAGTGGCTGAAAAAGATGGACACGGCAGCCAGAGCATTACACGGACAAGGCATACAAGTCTGACACAGCCTTTAACTCCAGGTGAGCTTGGAAAGCTTAGTCTGGCCTGAGGAGATCCTAGCAGAGAACCCAGATGACCCACCGACACCCGGACCAACCCATGGAAACATTCCCCCGAGCTGCCAATGTGTGGTAACTTGTTACAACAGCTATAAAAAGTGAATCCACCGAGCAGGACACTGGAAGATCCACAGCACCACTGCCCAGGAAGTACACAAAGCCACCTCGATCACAACCCAGGACAGCGGGCACCCAGGGCAGCACCCTTAGGCAAGGCAGTCATGTCACACTCAGCAGTTTACCCAAACTGGTTACTGGAATGAAAATTCCTGTAGAGAACTTGCAGACCGCCAGATCCTGTTCCACCCGTCCCATGCATGTGCACAGCCTGCCCACACACGCTTCAGCAACCTGAGCTGGTGGCACCGCCTATGCAGAGCCGAAACATGGGCCATGTCGCCTGCCAGAGGTGGCCTCGCTGCCCCGATCCACAGAGATGCTGCTTTACAGTAACGCACGGTGACACGAACACAGTGACACTGTGGCTCATTCAGGGTCCTGGTCCAAGCTGGCCCGGAGTTAAAGGCTGTGTCCAGTCTGTCCAGACTAAGCCATGTGTGCAGTGTCCCATCTGACCTGCCAGCTCCTGCCCATCCGAAGCCTGGAAGTCCGGGATCAAGGTGTCACTGGAAGTGTTTCTTCCGAGGCCTCTCTCCCAGGCGTGTAGATGTCACTTCCTTGTGTCCTTCCCTCAGTGTGTGTCTGGTCTGTGTCATCTCTTTGTAAGGACCTGGGGATTAGGACCTACCCCTGTGAGCTGTGCCCACTGTTGAGCTGTCTCAGTCTGATAGAACTGCTAATCTAATCTAATCTAGAACACTTTGTTTTTTATAGCATTTCAGCCTGTGACCTCATTTTAACTGAATCCCCTTGGTAAAGACTCTCCAAATATGGTTGGCTTTGGAGCTGTAGGGTGTTAGGACTTCACTCTGAATTGTTGGGTGGCTGTAGCCCAACTCATTCGGCAAGCTGCAGTGACGCGGCCCTGGCAGTCACACACTAGCACTGGAGGAGACCTGAGCAGCTGAGCCCCTGCACCCTCTTCTCTCGACGCCTCACATGGCCTGCATCTGGCAGGACCTGGAGGGAGTAGGCTGTGTCCATAGGTGCCACGCCTCGTTCCCACAGAGCTGCCAATGACCCAGGGTAGCCTTCTTCACCCTGCAGATGGCTCTGGACTGACCGACCTACCTATACCTTCCTTCCCTCCTTCCCCCTCTCCCCCTCCTTTTCTGTTTTTGAGATAAGGTCTCACTATGTAGTTCAGGCTGGCCTTAAACTCACCGTGTATCCCAAGCTGGCGTCAGACTTGTGGGGATCCTCCTGCCTCAGCCTTCCAAGTGCTAGGATTACAGGCATGTGTCACCATGTCTGACTGACCTTTCATTTTAAATGTTTTCAGAAATGAAGAGTTTTTGTTTGTCTGTCTTGGTGCTGGGGATTGAACTCAGAACCTTACACTGAGCTACATCCTTGGCCCCACCCCAACTCTTCTGTTGGTTATGCTGGTTAGTGTGCTTCATTTGGGCAGACTTCTGCATACCCACTTAAAATTTTAATTGTTTTTACCCTCATAGTTTCACAATCCTGCTGATAGTTTTTAATGTGTATAATATATTTTTCTCATATCCATTCTTCCATCTCTGTTCTTTGTTAAATTTTTTGAGACGAGTTTTCACTAGGTCACTAACGTGTCCAGGCTGGGCTTGAACTTGGAATCTTTCTGTCTCAGCCTCCCAGAATGCACCACACAGCCAAGCCTAAAATCAAGATTTTTTTAACTTGGGAGTCTGTAAGTTTATATGTAGAACTCTTTTATGGTATGTTTTAAATAAAAACCTTCCTCATCCCAAATAAATGAGTAAATAAACACCTCTAGAGCAATAGCAGCACCCTTGCCACACCTGGGGGAGGTCTGTCTGGTGTGCGTGCTGCCCACTGTTGAGCTGTCTGTCAGTCTGATAGAACTGCTAATCTAATCTATAGAACACTTTGTTTTTTATAGCAATTCAGCTTTGATATAGCCGAGGAAGCATCAAAAGTCTGCCTGGCTCACCTTTTCACGTACCAGGATTTTGACATGGGGACGCTCGGATTGGCCTACGTGGGCTCTCCTAGAGCGAACAGTCACGGAGGCGTCTGTCCCAAGGGTAAGCTTGCCTGTGTTTGTGTGAACAGGATGCCAGAGCGCTGAGCTGATTGAACTATGACGCTGTGTTTAATAAGCAATTTTTGCTTTTGTGTTTTGTTTGCCTTTAGCTTATTATAGTCCTGTTGGGAAGAAAAATATCTATTTGAATAGTGGTTTGACCAGCACAAAAAATTATGGTAAAACCATCCTCACAAAGGTATGTCCTCTGGTCTTCTTAAAGGGTAGATTGGAGTTTATTGTATTAGAACCTCAGTTATTTATATTTTTTATATTTATTTATATTGTATTAGAACCTACTTATTTATATTGGTATCTTAAAAATTAATATTAATGTTTATGATTTCTGTTGAAATGCATGTTTTCTTTGAGAAATATGAGAATTAAAAGTTTGAGGAAGAGGGCCGGTGATTTAGCTCAGTGGTTCTGCCACCTGCCTTGCAAGTGCAAGGTCCCGAGTTCAATCCCCAGTACCAAAAAAAAAAAAAAGTTTGAGGAAGAAGTAAAGCACCCCTTGGCTTTCTCTGGAGACATGAGGACGTTTGTGTCCTCACCACCACCTCCCGGGGTGCGCGATCCTCAGCTCCTTCTGGCACTGGTCTGGGCCTGCGGTGGTTATGCTTCATTCCTGCACCCAGGTTTCCTCTTGCTCAGTCTCTGCCAGGCAAGGGAAGCTCTTCACACCGTCATAGTGGAGCCCTGACCGCAGTGGCTCTCAGCTCTTTGTGCTACTCAGAGCCTCAGCTGCCGAGGCCTCGCTTGGGAGCTCTTCCTGCGCTGCAGGTGGCAGCTCCCAGTACCTCTCTGCCGCTTTCTTGCTCTTGGGGTTACAGCTCGGCTCTTGGCCACTTTGGCACCAAGCAGCCTTTGGTTGACCCATTCCTCATGCTCACCTTGAGATACCACTCACTGATCTGCACCAAGAGGGGCACAGACTGCTTGCCAGGGTGCAGGGCTGCTGCGTGGAAAACGGAGGTGGGGGGAAGTGTCAGCTCCTGTTGGTCATGGTGGGCAGCAGCCCGGCTGACCTGAGGAGGTTCCCCGACAGGACCAGGGGGTGCCTGGTACAGGTGTGGCCTCTGGGGCAGCCTTGAAAGGACACAGTCTAGATTAACAGCCCAAGGTGGGGCTCAGCGAGCTCTCTCATCACACACACAGAGCTTGTGTGAGCTGGGCGCAGTGACAGACACTGTAGGTGCAGTTGCTTGGGAAGCTGAGGCAGGAGGATTGCTTGAGGCCAGGAGGTAGAGGCCAGCCTGGGCAACACAGTGAGATCGCATCCCCAAAAGAGAGATGTTACGCGTTTGCCAGATGTACAACACAGAGTGAGATCTGGTGTAGCTGTGGACTTCAGGTGACTCAGGCCACATAAAGTGGGATGAGGAGACAAGGCTGCACTGATCATCTCTGGAAACGCTGCAAAATGTCCTTCTGGAGCCAGTTCCCTTTTTTGGTGTGACAGCCTCTTAATGGTTCCATTTATGATGTGTTTTCCTCGGTCTTCCAGAATTTTCTCTCATGGAACAGAGTTAAAAGTAAATTTGCTTTGAAATTTTTGAGTTGTTTTTACAGTGCCAGACTGTTACAATCTGCTCTTGAATTTTTTTCCCATTGTACAGTTAGAAATTACTTCTCTGTATTACACCATTGGGATTTGAGTGTTTTTGCTAAAAATTCTAAATTTCCTCCAATGCCATTTTTAATATAAATGTGGAAAAGCTTTAAGACCTTGGCTTTTGAGAAGCCAGTAAACCCAAGAATTGGGAATCTTCTTGTGTAAAAAACGGCCTGAAAATTACTAATTTTTTGTGTCTTACAGAATCAGGATTCCTTTAAGTGTCGTATTCTTAAGATTTTCTAGCTAAATTCATTATTGTGTTATATTCAAATAGAAATCCAGTAACCTGATAAAAGTACATTCACCGCTGGATTCTCCACCTAAACTATCAGTCACCGACTGGGTCACTGAGATAGTAGAGCATTGTTTTTGATCCTCAGTTTTTTTCTTCACCCTTTGAGATTTTTTTCATTTTGCTGAGAGACTGTTTGGCTTTGGCGGAGAGTGACTGGGATGGGGGTTATGGTGGCCTGGTAGCTGGTCATTGGCTTTATCAGCACTGCACGGCATGTGGTATACTGTTACGAATGTTTTTTTGTTTTTTTGTTTGTTTTTTTTTTGAGACAGGGTCTCACTGTGCAGTTGAGACTGACCTGGAACTCACTATGTATCTCAGGCTGGTCTCAAACTCACATTGATCCTCTGCCTCAGCCTCCCAAGTGCTGGGATTACAGGCGTGCACCACCACACCCGGCATGAATGTATTTAGTACATCTTGTAGGCTGTATTTTCCTAAATTGATTTAAATTAATCCGTGTCCTAACTTTAGAGTAGCATTACACAGAATTTTGCTCGTGTTTAATTTGTCATCGGCAGGTGAGGCAGGGCCCAGTTGTTACTCTTGTTCTCTGGTTAGAGAGGCCCAGCTGGCCACAGTCACTGGTAGTTAAATGTCCTTTCTGCATGAACCCCAAGGAAGCAGACCTGGTCACCACTCATGAACTGGGGCACAACTTCGGAGCAGAACACGATCCAGACGCCCTACCTGAATGTGCGCCAAACGAGGACCAGGGCGGGAAATACGTGATGTACCCCATCGCCGTGAGCGGTGACCACGAGAACAACAAGGTGGGTGCGTGGGCCTTGTGGGGAGAGAGGAGCTAGCGGTGTAGTCCTTTCCTGGGGGAGCCACACCGGCAGTAGCGCCATGTTGGCTGTGCATTTTACAGTGTAGCGTGGCCACCCACGCCTGGCTAGAGGTACCGTTCAGACCCCGAGTTTTTCAGTTTTGACACAGGTTCCAAGACTCTGGTCCAGTCTGGCCTTGGTCCAGGCGGTCCCCCAGCCTCCTGAGTGCTGCGGTGGCAGGTGTGCACCACCACGCACGGCTCATTTCGACTGGTCCTGAAGGTTAATCTCACTAAATTTGGCCTCAAAAAATCACTTACAGTGATGACTTATTGGAATTCCCAGTTTTGGTCTGTGGTGGGCTCAGGCTCTGTTAAAAATTACCCATTGTCTCATTTGTAATTTGCTACCAGTGTTAAGTGCACAGCACTTCACAAATAGCACGTTTCCGTCGGCTCCTGGAATAAAGCGTACGGAGTTGGCCAGGCCCTAAGCATCGGGCGGGAAGGGCCCTGTCCTTGGCCTTGCTCCCAGTTCTGCCTCCTGGGCCCCGTGGCATAGTAGAGCTGTTCCGGGGTACACACGGCAGTGGCCCTGCTGATCTCTGGGTTCTGGTGTAGGCGGTGCCATGTCTGCGTGGAGCCCATGTGGCCGCCTCCATGCTTTAGGACCCTAACGGCAGCACAGCGCGGGCGCGCTTTCCCCAGCATTTTCGTCCCCGGTTATTTGAATTCATGGGTGCAGAACCCACAGAGAGGAACAGCTTTCCGACCGTTAGCGCTGAGATTCTGCATGAAGTCCAGTGTTCACAGAGCCCAGCTGTGGGCGAGGCCACGGCCAGTTGTGAGGGGGAGGGTGGACAGGTCACGGCCTCCTTGCCCTCACCCACTTTGTGCTCACTGCCCCTGTCATCTTTGACTGATGCACCTCATTTGTTTGGCTGCGATGTGACAACTACCTCTTGCTCTCTTGCAGTGCATGGCACGTTTCATTTTTCCTCTGCTTGACACCTTGTGGGTAGGAGACGCTTCCTGCCCCTTTGTCCTCCTCTTCCACGGTGTCTGGCCTTGTCAGTTTCCTGCCATTCTCAGACTGCCTCTTGCTGCCTGGTCTGTGCCTGACGTGTGCTGTGTGACCGACTGCTGCTGGGGAGGGCTCTGGGCGGTGGCCGCCAGCCGTCGGGCCGTGCGGTTGAAATGCTGACCAGAGAGCAGGATCTGAAGTGTAAATTGTTTTATTTAAATGTAACAGTGTATGCCTCTCTTTGAGGTGGAAATAGGTGTTCACCTTCCCGGGAGGATGGCAAAGCACTAGAGCTGATTTGTGGTGATCTCTGTTGCCAGAAATGAGTGGAAAAGCAGGGACAGTGGTGAGGATGTAAGCCTGTGCAGCCATAGCTGCTCTTTGAGGTAGCTGGCGAGGGCACCAAGGTATCCATGCTGATCTGCCCACTCCTGTGTGTGGGGACATCGCTGTAACACCGTAGCACATACGTGTGACTACGAGCAAATCAATAGCTACATTGGCTGGCGGCTGCTGTGTCGGACGTGGCCTGTGCTGACAGGTCCCCTGCTGCTCTGTCACGAGGATGGGGGCGGTCCTTTCGTTGTGCACATGGGGTACTGTGCTTCGCTGCCCCTTCCACTGCAGAAATCCCCAGTGGGCTCCACTGGCCCCTATGGCCTTGCACGACCTTGCTGATCAGTAGACGGGGCAGAGCTAGTTTTTTGTAGAGATGCTGGACTATTTACCGGCAGCAAAGAACAGTTTTTCCACCAGGTGGACTAGTGAAGAGACAGCCAGCAGTTGGGGGGTTGGAACTGAACAGGTGACATTAATGAACACAGGGTGCTGAGGGTTTGTCACCTTCTAGTAAGTTGCTGAAGGAACGGAAGTTGTGTGGGAAGGATGCAGGCAAAAGTGGGGGCTGTGTGAAGAATCGCTCCTGTCTGCTGACTGACAGCCCCTCACTTGGAATCACTGAGCTCCTGACCCAGGGCCGCTGGATCTGCAGAGGCCATGAGTAAATGCCACCAGTGTCTTTACTGGAGAGCAGCCCGAAAGAGCTTTTGGCTAAGGCCAGTGAGCTTTTGTGTGTAGCGTGAGGGCCTTTGTGAAAAGGAGTTCCTGGGTGCCTGGGAGCAGCTAATATTCTCGGAGACTGCGCCCTCCTCTCTCCATGCTGCAGCAGCCTAGGAAGGCGACACCGAGCTCCCACAGAGCTGCGGAGATCCTGCCCCAAGGGGGCGCAGATGAGAGCTGCTGAGAAGGTTGAAAGGCGGTTCTGACCTTTGCATTGGGAAACTGGGATTGTGAGTCACTGTCAAAACTTGGGGGGACTTGTACTACTGTAGACCTATGAGAATGTTGGGTAGCAGCATGGAATTGAAGTGGGCAGTCACATCATGCCTCTCATGAAGCTCAGTACTTTAAAGTGAGTCACATGAGCCAGCGAGCAGGGCATGTGCACCTGCCTGTACTCCCAGCACTCTGGGAGGCTAAGACAGGAGGATTGCAACTTCGAGTCAACGCTGTGAGACTTAGCAGCTCCGTGAGAGCCTGTCTCAAAATAAAGCAAGCTGGATGTAGGGGTTTGAGGCGCAGGCCCCACACATGGGAAAACCAGAAGCAGCCACTTGCATTCCTGCATTGTCCCACAGGGGCAGGCAGCAGCCTGGGGCTTTCTGTCCTGCTGGACCGCCTGTTGGGGTGGAATGGGGAGGGTAATCCCAGTACTTTGATCACTGGTCTTGCTGCAGAGTTGGAGGTCTGAGAGCGAGGCACTCGATTCCATATTGATGATCTTTGTCGGTGACTTGGCCGCCCTGACACAGCTCTAGGTGGCTCCAGTGGTGGCTTTTACATTATGGACCTTAGAGGGGCTGGAGATTTAGCTCAGTAGTGCTACTGCCTGCCTTGCAAGGGTAAGGACCCGAGTTTGATGCCTAGTACCAAAAAGAAAAAGAAAGTGGACCTTAGAGGCACAAGAATACATGGGAGTGGGGCCAGAGATTTAGCTCAGTGGTGCTGCCGCCTGCCTTACAAATGTGAGGACCTGAGTTCAATCTTTGGTACCAACAAAACAAAACAAAACCAATAAAAAAGAATACATGGGAGTGAATCTTTATTCCGTTCTTCTGAGCCTTCGTGGCCTTTTTTCTCTCCAGATGTTTTCCAACTGCAGTAAGCAGTCTATCTATAAGACCATCGAGAGCAAGGCCCAGGAGTGCTTCCAGGAGCGCAGCAACAAGGTGTGCGGCAACTCCAGGGTAGACGAGGGGGAAGAGTGCGACCCCGGTATCATGTACCTCAACAACGACACCTGCTGCCACAGCGACTGCACGCTGAGGCCGGGTGTGCAGTGCAGGTGAGCGTGGCCTGGGAGTGGGTGGGGCCAGTGTCAGCATCACAGGTGTCTGCAGGGGAAGGCCAGGAGTGCGGGGTTTGGAAATGAGCCAGGCGCAGTGCTGTCTGGAAAGCAGTTTGCATTATAGAGAAACAGCCTCTGGGCTTGGGGTGGAGCCCAGCGGTGAGTGTCTTGGCTGGGTGCTTGCTCAGCCTGCGCGCCCAGCCTCGGATTCAGTCCCCAGATCACCCCAGAAACACCCTGACCTCGCTCGCGCCTTCCTGACACATCCTTCTTAAAGGAGACAGATGAGAGAAGACAGAGACTTTAAAAGGCTGCTGCTGGCTGCCTTCTTTCATAAGCGCAGTCAAAATGGTACCCTGCACCTCCCTCAGAGTTGTGTGTAGAATGGCGCTGGTGACTACCCCAAGGGCTCACAGGCCGGAAGGCGCCTGCGCTCCCGCCTCCCCAGCACGGTACGCAGCTCAGGAGGGGCTTCAGTGGTAGTGGAGGAGATCCTGGAAGCTGCGAGGTGCAGAGCAGCCCTGGACATCCTTTTAGTCATTGCCCTTTTACTTTTTGGTTTTCTTAAAAGAACTTTTTTATAGTATGTATTTGCCATACAGTGGTGCCTTGGTTCACAAACACTTGTTTGCAAACAGGCATTTGGCAAAATTTTGTTTTCTTGGCATTGGTCAACAGATGTGACCACAACCATCTTTCCCATGTGAGCACAACGCGGGAGCAATAGCGCTCACCTTCGCCGTAGGGAATTCGGACCTCTACATAATAATGTATTCTACTTTTCCCCTTTGCCTCCCCTCAGCTCTTCTTCCCTTCCCCCTTTTCAAAGGCTTTGCTTCCATTTTGTTCCTTCCGTTGTTAAGTCCCTTTTGCCGTCCCCTTCCACCCTTGTTCCCTTCTTGTTGAACATGTTCTTCCTTCCCAGTATCTGTCCTCCATTTTGCTCCTTGTCTGTCCTTCACAATGTGATATTTAAACTTGTGTGTCTTATTTAACGGCTTTGAAGTGAATCTGTTTCTTTCATTCATTCATTCATCATTGAGACAGGGTCTTCCTTTGTAATCCAGGCTGGCCTGAACTCATGTTGATTCTCCTGCCTCAGCCTCCTGACTGCTGGAATTACAGGTGTTCACCACCACATCAGGCTATTTCCCCCTTTTAAATAAGGCCAACCAAGGATGCCGTGACGCTGTGAAGATGAGCGCTGTCTAGTGCGGCCTGGGCATCGCTGCTTCCCGGATAGGAAGGGATGCTGTCTGGCTCTGTGGCAGTGGCGGCTCAGCGTGGTCTCCCTGTGCGTACCAGGTCTCTGATGTGCCAGTAGTGTGTGGCTGAGGCTGTCGTTTAAGGTGAACCATCCCTGCCTGCTTCCCCGCAGTGACAGGAACAGTCCGTGCTGTAAGAACTGCCAGTTCGAGACGGCCCAGAAGCGGTGCCAGGAGGCCATCAATGCTACCTGCAAGGGCGTGTCCTACTGCACAGGTACGGGCTCCTGCTCCTGACTGCTCAGTGCAAATGTCTGCGAACAAGGCCGTGCTCTGCTCCACTCTTCCTGTGCAAGAGCCCTGCCTCCCCTTGCTGTGCCTGGAGCTCGCAGACCCTGGAGGGGCAGCACTGGAGCCGGGCACCCTGGCTGGCCGCTGACTGGCTCTGCCTACAGGGAACAGCAGCGAGTGCCCCCCACCTGGGAACGCAGAGGATGACACGGTCTGCCTGGACCTGGGCAAGTGCAAGGATGGGAAGTGCATCCCCTTCTGTGAGCGCGAACAGCAGCTGGAGTCCTGCGCCTGCAATGGTGAGCCCCGGGCAAGGGCGGTGCGCCGGGCAGCTGCCTGCTGAGCTGGGCAGGAGGGCACAGGGCTCAGACAAGGCGCAGGTCCCAGCTGGCTACAAGGGCCCTGGGGCCGGAGAGAGGTGTGCGTTCTGGTCTCCATCTGCGGACTTGCGGTGGAGGCAGTGGCAGTCTAGGAGGGCGGCTCAGAGGACAGCACTGCCTGTCACACTGTGCTTCCTTCTGGTTCCCAAAGTGTGCAGCCCGCCTGGGACCTGCTGCTGCTCTGCTGGAGCCGATTCTTCTCCTGGGGACGGACATGGGCTCTCAGCTCCCTGTTGCCTTGGTCTCTGGCCTTTTGCCACCCTGGCTGGTTGGGACGGTGTGGGAGGTACGGGGTGCCAGTTTGTGGGGAAGGAGCATTGGGGGGGTACAAGCAGGGGGGTGAGACAGACTTTCTGCATGGGCCGAGGAGCGTGAGCTCCAGCAGCCCCTTGGTGTGGCGTCTCTCACCAAGCCCAGCGTCTCCTGCAGTGAGTTCAGGGAGCTGGACTGGAGCGGACGGCGGCTGGCAGGACTCGAGCGTCAGTCTGCGCCTGTCCCCGGCCCTTTCAGAAACTGACAACTCGTGCAAGGTGTGCTGCAGGGACTTGTCTGGCCGTTGTGCACCCTACGTTGATGCTGAGCAGAAGAACTTATTTCTGAGGAAAGGGAAGCCGTGTACAGTAGGCTTCTGTGACATGAACGTGAGTACTGCCACAGGGGCGGTGGCTTCCAGAACAGCCAGATTGTGCAGGTGGCCAGGGCTCAGGTCACTGGAGCTCAGGGCCTGGGCAGACCCAGAGGCTATGCCCATTGGTGGGTCCTGTTGTCTCAGAGCTGTTCTGGCTGTACCTCAGGAGCAGGTTCTGGCCTCGCCTAAGTCCCACCTCCAGGTCCTCCACCCGTGGGGCACGAGTGAGGCTTAGGCTGCTCAGGCACTGGGCCATGTCCTTCCCTGATCACCCAGGGTGGGTGATGACCCGAGGAACCCTGAGGCCATCTCTGATGGAAGTCCACTCACGGATGGCTAACTGGAAAGCATCCAGGCCAGGCAGTCCGCTTCCTGGGCTCGCTACACTGAGATTGAGATCGCTGACCCATGGAGAAGATGGGCCACTTGGGTTTCAGTGACACTTCCATGGGATTGAACGCTTGCAAGGCAGGCGGCACCACTAAGCCAAATCCCCAGCCCAATGCCCATGATTTTCATAGTTGCACTGTTTCTAAATGCATTTTCTTCCCTTCTGCTCTTTTCTCAAGGGCAAATGTGAGAAACGAGTACAGGATGTGATCGAGCGGTTCTGGGACTTCATTGACCAGCTGAGCATCAACACGTTTGGTAGGTGATGCCACACTCAGTCACTGGACCCGAGCCTCCGTGCTGCATGAGGTGCGGACAGGTCAGTGCACACATCCCACAGCAGCTGCGCTGGCTGGGCTGGAAGTGCGCACCAGATCTGGCTCTGGAGCTTGGATGCAGAGATTTTCAGAGGGAAACAGAATAAGCGTGGTTCTCTATAGCTTTGTGAATCTACACATTCAGCCATATGAGTTTTGTCGGTGAGGAGTTACAGTATGTCAGCTACAGAGCTGTCACACCGAGCACTGCCTGGGTAACAGAACCATTGTGGTCTGGTGTAGCTGCGGCTGCCAGTGACTCTCGGGCCCTTCTCTGAAGGCACAGGAGTGGGAAGATGAGCAGGCCAAGCAGGAGGCCATGCAGCGCGTCCCGCCGGAAGCTTCAGGAGCTCGGTTGGGATGCTCACTGCTTGGCATTGTCCACAGGGAAGTTTTTAGCAGACAACATCGTGGGGTCCGTCCTGGTTTTCTCCTTGCTGTTCTGGATTCCCTTCAGCATTCTTGTCCATTGTGTGGTAAGTCCCCCATTCTGAGCATCCAGACCTTTGATCACAACTGCAAGCGCACCCCACCTTGTGATCTTTGGAAATGGGAAAGCTGCTCCGCTCCTGCCAGTGACATCACTTGGTGTTAGCCCTGGCAGCTTGGCTGGAGGTCTTTTACTCTAGTGCGTGAGGCCTAGAGTGCTTGTAAGTGCAGGAGACCCTTTCATTGGGTCCGAGTGGCTTCTTACACAGGCTGCTCCCCACATTCTCCCCAGATCGCAGCATTACTATACGGGCTGTGCCCGTCCTCTTCCTGTTCTTGCCAGGCAAGTTAGCGGCTCTAAGTGGAACTGGGCTTTGTCTAAGGCACACCAGGTATTTTGTCAATTTGAGCTCCCCCATTTCATGACAAACCCTACAGCACATACATACACTGAGCCCTGTCTGTGGGGATGGGGTTCATGCTGTAGGGGAGACCAGACTTGGCTTCTGGCATCCCTCAGTTCTAGCTCTTCCAGGGCACTCCTGCAGCCAGGGCCTCCAGCCCCCAGCTTGTCCTAGGGGTGCAGGAGGGGCCCCTCGTGCAGGGACTGGCTGAAGCGTTGGGAGAGCCTAGCATCTGTCCACAGTACACCTGGAGGGCAGTGGCGGCCAGGCCGGAAGCCCAGGCCCCACTCTTGCTTCTGCCTTTCCCTCCGCCATAGGAAGAAACCCGCAGGAATTGAGGCTGCTCCTGTAGCAGCCCAGGCTGTGTGTGACAAGTTTGTGCGGGGGACCCTGGAGGCCAGGGCAAGAAGCCACGCAGCCCTAACCTGCCATGGCGGCGTCTTGGGTGCTCACCTTGGCACGGCCGCCCAGGGACAGCCCTCAATGTCCTTGGCTCCACCTGCCTCTGCCAGACTGACTGCAGCGACTCACGGGTGCTGCGCTCAACTCTGGCGCAGAGGGTCAAACCCAGAGCCTCCTGTGCAGAGCTCGCACTCACTGCCAGGGCGCCTGCGGGGTGAGCTGACACGCTGTCCCTTCTTGCAGGATAAGAAGCTGGATAAGCAATATGAGTCTCTGTCCCTGTTCCACCCCAGCGTGAGTACACTTGGGAAAGCCGAGTCCCTGCAGCCCGCCCCGGGCTCTCATTGCCCTGCAGCAGGGAGGTCTCATCGGCAGGGTGGGCTGGGCTGGGCTGTGGGCTCCTATGCTGTCCCTGTCCCTTGAGGGTGACAGATTCAGCCCCAAGTTGCCATTTCACCTTTGCTGGGCCCGGAGCCGCTCCCTGGGTTGGACGGGGCGCACACAGCACTTGCTCAGCACAGGGCTGGTGTGCGAGGGTCACCGCTGCATCCTCCCTCCCGTTACCAATGCAGAATGTGGAGATGCTGAGCAGCATGGACTCGGCGTCCGTGCGTGTCATAAAGCCCTTCGCCGCGCCGCAGACCCCGGGCTGCCTGCAGCCGCTGCCCCCAGG